AAGGGTGGTTCCAGAAGGCTAGAATTTTGACATCACAGAAGGTTTACAATTTCTTTATATTCCAAAAATTTATTATTTGTACCATTTGCAATGAAATTACCGGTAGGTCAAAAAGTATATACCAATCTAGGCATCCATTTTTTGTTTGTATCATCTGTCCTTAAAAAGATTCTTGATAAGGGTTCTTCGTCAATTAAAATCTTGCTGCGTCTCAAACTTTTACCGATTCATAAATATTTGCAACATTTGCAGTGACCACTTTTTCAAAAAGTTTTGCATCACTACCTGGAATCACAAATGTTCTGATTGTATATATTCATTTTGATGAATACTTTAAAAAATGATTAAGATGTATTGTATCCAATGGAAAATTATGGCTACAGCCCATCTGTACCTCTCCCTTCTTCCCAACCAAACACATAAATGTAACTTTAACCCTGATATTTTAATATACTTGTAATTCATATTGTAGAAGAACATTGCAGAAGAGATTATGGTTTGTCACAGAAGGAAACTTATTACCATCCTAACAATTAAAATTGTAAACTACTTTGGCCACTTGAAGCTTTTGAATTAAAATAAAAACCTTGAGTATAATAAAAATGCCTTTAATTCTTCAATATTACATAAATGATAACAAATTGTCTAACTCGCAGTAATAAGGTTTTAGATTTGTTGTTCTTGATACATATCATTAATCAGTGTTAAATGTTAAAAACTTTTTAAATTAAATTGGAGCGTGAAAACAGATTGTATTTCTCTGTTCATTCACGCACAAAGGTCCATCGATGGTTTAGGACATACAAGTAATTGACAATGCGAGTTGAAGGCCGACAATGGGTCTAAAGTAAGAGTTTATGAAGTACTTTGCATTTACATTGTAAAAACGAGAGATTTAGATAAAGTTTCGGTAAGAGGGAATTTTTGTTCCTGATTTTTTGCTCCTCACAGAGTTTTCGGTGCTATTCGCGCATGAAATTTTAATCATTACTGTGTGGGTGGCAATTTTACACTTTCGATGCTTGTACCACCAACTTATTTGTCTTAACCTTGCCCCAACGTAAAATCTGTTCATGTTTATCATGGTCTTGCATATTGAATCAACTGATATATATTTCACCGTATGCATGTGAAAATGGTAGGGATGTCAACGAGTACCCGGTTAACGGGGTACTCGATCGAACGTCCGAGTATCGAATACTAAAATCGGTACTCGGTTACTCGGATGTATATTTTTACATGTTTCTAAGCTTATTTATCAATGCATTAAACAATTTGTTTTAAAACGTAAAATGCTCGTTGCACTTGTACATACAGTAATTAGGGTTTACTACGACTCTAAATGACCGTTATCACCTGTGGCAGTGTTTATACAGCAATTATCGTGACCAAGCAGCTGGGGTACCTGACTTTTCTCACCTTCGGCTGTCTTCTACCCTTATTTTTTCTTTGGCTTTAATTATTTGTTTTCAATGAACATCGTTTAAGGTCTATTATGTTTAAATAAATTAGATAATATTGTCAATTCTCCGAGAAGCCGTAAATTCTCGGGAAAAGAGCGGATGACATTACATGTGCTATTGTTGATATGATTGTGTTTGATTACATGCCAATACAACTGGTTGAAGGCAAAGGATTTAAGAAAACTGATGTCCATCGTTACATCAAACTACAAAATACCGTCCAGTAATATAATAAAATCTAGGATTGAAAAAGTGTACGAAATTCGTAAATTCGCTCTGTTAGGAGAACTTGATCAAGTACTGATCACTTTTGTGGGTAGATATGGATAGTTCCATAATGTTTAGATTTACTCACTTGGACATATTTAATAAAATACTAAAATATACATTTTCAAAGGATCAAAAACTTCCTTATATCCTTTGATACTCTGTTTTCATTCTCAATTAGACATTATACATGCAAATAACATCCAAAATTGACATTTTTAAAATTATGCTTATAGTAAAAACGCTTACAATCCTTTACATGACTATGCATATCATTTAACTGGAAAGATATTTTTTTACACTTTAATTATCAGCAATTTTTATACTCTTACTTTTAAGCTGAATAAGCCCTATTTTTGTTTAATTATTTGTTCTACCAATGCTTCATATCAAAGTAATAAATATTTTGGCTGCGTTTACGACTTCAAGAATCTTATAGTTACAAAAACTCATATTTCCTGAGTCACAACTAAAACATATCAAGAGGAACTTTTAAATGTTTACAAGTAAAACAGAATGAATTTTCATTATGACTTTAAAAACATACGCTTACAAACCTCTACAAAATGATATACATTGCAAACTTGACATTAAGAAAAAAAAATTCAAAATTTACATACTGAAATATCAATCATTACTATTTTTGGAAATGGTTATAGCACACACGTACTGCAATATGATTTACACCTCATACTTATCCTCAAACAAATAACAGTACATTTTGAGAGAATTCTAGCCTTTGAGCAGTCAAACCGTTTGCACAATTATGACTAGCAATGATTACTTTTCTTGGTTTTGTAAAATTTGTAACAAATCAAGGGCGGGACTACTTTTGCCATAAATTAAAAAAAAGCTGAATATTTTCGAAATTTTCTTTTCTTAATTCCTGGAGCACTCAAGTTTTTGAATGTCTACAATGACTAATAAACCTTCTACGTAAATTTCACACCCATAATCGTGTACTTTGAAATTAGTTTATATATTTGAATGAAATCTCTTGACTCATGGAATCAAACTATAAAACTCTTTGCATTGTAATAACAAACAGTTTGTGCAAAATAAATTGATGAACAACACAATTTTCAGGATTTACATTCTAGTGTGAAGACACAACACTATTTGACTGATTCAACAACTTTTTTTGCAATTGTTATAAAAATTAATCAAATTACTTAATTATTTAAAAGAATGATAGGCAAATAAGAATACTGTAATTTCTAGGGACTACGCCCATCTTTTTAAGATTAAGGGCTGTCGATGAATTGAAACAATTTAAGGAATGCTTACTTCTCCATGGAACGGATCCCATCTCTGATGGCCTTGGTTTGATCTCCATTGCAATGATCAAATTGTCCTTTGATTCTAACTACTGTTCGTTATCTTCTCATTTTATTAGGAAATGTAACAAGAAGAAATCTTCTTTTTATCGTACTTAAATCTTGGGATGTTTACAACATCTTATTGTGGATAAGCTCTGCATGAAATTATTCCAACAAACTGTAAGGCTGTATGTCAAAATTTGAGCCCAAGTTTTATAAAACTACTAAATATCATCGAATCATTTGACGCCGGCAAAATTATAAAATATTACCTTGCGATGTGCTGCGACTCTAAGATAGAGCTATCAAAATAAAATGAAGGAAAAAGCAAGAATTGTACATGTATTAAGGTGTATCCAAGTACTTTTCTTAAACATAGATATATTAAGTAATATTAATATGAACGGAATCTGAAGCTAATAAGAGTTTGTCTTTCCCACCTTTCCTCCGTGAAGCTTTGAAAGATCATGATTTTAATTTTGTTGAAAAGTTGACGTAAAAATACAATTACATCTAAATCCATATATGAAGAAAATACATTCATTTAATCCTAGACAAAAATTGCATCATATTTTTATTGTTTTTAAAGTCCTCTTGAGACTTTTTTTTTACTGATATTGAGACGCCACCACTTGCTGTTGGAGGGCTGCAAATTTATGCGTATACTCGGTACTGAGGAGGACTATTAAGCAGAAAGGAATCTTTTTTGTGCCAGTCCTACTGCGACACAGGACCTCGGTTTATTCAGTCCCATTTGACGGACCGGTCTCCACGTCCCGTCATGAATTTGAACCGTAAGAATCAACTCCCTATTCTGGGACTCTGAAAAAAAACTCTTACAACTGCGCCTACTGGGCGACGCAACAATTTTTTCAAAGACATCATCGTTGGTTATCATATATTTTACAAATGACATCAATTTCAAACAACATCATGATGGCGAATGAATAGTTTTAGCCTTATCAACGACGTCTAACTAATTTGTCTGTAAAAACATATTTGAATTGGAATACTATTAATTTAAATTGGAGTAGGGCACTAACAATTGATATGTTATCAACGGGCTTTCAGCAACATTCTTCTTCTAAAACGGTATTGATAATGGGGGGCGAAAATGTTTATTGGAAATATTACCTATCGTTGGGTTAATTTTTGCTGACATGCTTCATGCATTGCAGTCGTTTGGGCATTGTATTCAAACTTACCACATGTACGTCTTTAACAACTTTATTTATCTTCATTGATTTATACAAAAGGTTAACCGCAAAGTTGACACCATAGAAGCTGATAGACCACTGTATACAAACTTATCACAAGTAAGTCTTTAATAACTTTATTGATCTATATAGAAGGTTTACCACAAATGTGTCTGGTCGATTTTTAGGGGATGCTTACTCTTTCAAAGCACATTTGGCTTTTCAAAGGTCCAAGTGTTTTAGCCGTTTTTACAATTTAGTTGAGTACATGAATTATGAGATTGATAGCTGTATTCGTTAGCTTTCTTGATTTTATCTTGACACACCCGCCTCTGATACTTTAAGCAGTGTAATACGTAGGTGTCTAGTGGAACAAGAAGTGGTCCATCTTAAAAATATTTTTCTTTGAGCAATATAAACATTAATATTCAATTGACTCATGCTTGGTAGAAAACAATATTAAAACCCGAACCAAGTATAATTCTATTAAAGTAATAAATAATTAATCTAGTTATCGTAAAGTCTGTCAAACCCGGTGTCACACCAAAGTTCTATGACAGATGACATTAGACTACTTAGTAATGGTTTCCAGATGAAAAAAATGAAATCGGAAATAAATCCATCATGCTACATGTACAAGAGTGGGTTAAGCTAATCACTATATATTATGAATGTTCAAAGTGACGAGTTAATTACGCATAGCATTGCCCAGTGTTTGTTATCACCATGTTGTATTAGACACGCTTGGGTTCCTTTCAGACTATCCTCCTACACTTAGCTCTTATATTCTTACCACGAGGGAGGGTCATTTATATGTGGAACCGCCGTCTTAAAGGTGAGAGATTTTTTACAGCAACTTTCTTCTCTGATTTGCTCATTTTATAGAAGGGAATATATTAAAATCATTACCATTGTTAATTAACACTGAAAAGGTATATAATTATTGTTTAATATCTTCATTTGAATTTATTTCGTTTCTCACTGCACAAATTGTGTAATGATTGTGATTTCATATTCTGAATATAGTTTTAGATTCTAACAAAAAAGGCTGAATTCAATAAAAAGGAAGTCATGATTATTTATTGTAACGATATAAACAAATAATTTTAATTCCTGATAAGAATTCATAACAGCTAGCGTTTTTAAGTCTGTAAATTATGAAGCAAACATAAATTCGACCACACTGAACCATGCATTTAAAACGCATATTCATGCAAATTATTCAGAATTAATTTCACATTAACATTGTACAACAAAACAGGATTTAACTAAAGCACTGCGTTTTTTAGAATTGAAATATATGCTAATGAGATGAAATCATCATATATGACAATTTCGATAACACAAACACCTATCTAAAAAGTACAAAACTTTAAAAAGAATACCAACGGGAAGACAATAATGGTTTGTAATTTGTGTAAAACTTTTTGCAACCCCCTTGTCCCATACAGAGAAATATTACAGACCTTAGAACAACAAAAAATCGAATCATACAACATAGCTGTCTGTCTATCTGTGTCTCTTTGAGGACATAATTGTACTCGTACGTGTGTTCCCCAAAGAGAATTTAACTTTATAAATTATGTATTCAATTTAGAAATAAATCACTGTTCAAAATTGAAATGCAAACAATAAAAATTAGGGGGAACAAATGTCTTTTTAATTAAACTGAATCGTGCATTTAAACAATTAAAAGAGCAAAGAAGTAATTTTCTTAATTACGAATAACAACAATTTACATAAATTTGTAGCAACATATTTTATGTCCATCATTAACATGTTTATATTTTGTGAGTTATTTAGACAGTATCCTTAATTAACTTGCCAACTAAATGCCTGTATCCTTATCTTGTTAATTACTAGGTTTCTTAATATAAATGTTCATGCATATATCATTATGAAGATTACAGAATAAATGAAATGGTACTTATGTCAAGTATTTCTAATGGATTTCTGGTCTTATTTTCAAAATAAATTCAGAGATTAAACTTTATAATTTAAAGACAAACAAATGAATATAGTATGTGAGAAAATGTCATTTGGGGTGATATTATAAATTTGTCGGATATTAAGAGAATTAATAACATCTGAGAGCAGTATAGAATACAATTTGTAATAAATGTTTTTATCCTGTAAGGATAAAAATGTATTTGAACAGAAAACATTTACTTATAATAACCTGGATTCAGGATATGTTATACAATGAAAATTTTAAATCGTAGTATTTTATGGATTAAAAAAAATCAATACTAGTATTTTAACCATAAAAAATAAGAGCTAAAAGCATTGCTTTATTATTCGAAAATTCATGTCTTGTTCTAATCAATACAGTGCATACACATGTACAGATAGATTTTAATAATCCTATTTATTCAGCAGCTATATTTCCTTTTCATAATTATTTAGTAACATCGCACTTCAGAAAAGTTCTGACCTATCACATTAGAACAAAGATTCTAGGTTAATTATGAACGTGCTTTTATTCTCCATTAGTTAGGGTAAACAATAGAAATGACTTTTTTGTGACAGTTATATTGTAAGGGGTTTCAACTACATTGAGTTTTTGTTAACAAGTGGTTGAGTTTTCAACTGCATGGACTGAATTTCAAACTACTGTGACTGAGTTTAGTGTATGTCTTATCAGCTTCATTCAGGGATTCTTTATCAGAGATTTTTTTTTATATTTAGCACTGAATGAATTTCCAACTAGTTACGTATGAAACAATGATAATTGAATATTGAACTCCAGTGAATTATTTTACATTTCAATTAATTAGTTTTTAACGACAATGAATAAAAATCAAACATCAGTGAATGAATTTCGAATCATAGTGATAGAATTTTTAACTTCAGTGAAGGAGTATCCATATGCAGTGAATCAATATTTGAACGACAGTGAATAATTTTAAAATAACAGTGAATATGAGTTAAAAACATCTGAGTTTTCATTACTTAGAATGAATTCTTAAATATAGTGAATGGCTTTCCAGTAACACCCAACTGAGATTTTATCATATCGAAGACATTTTTAACTACAGAGGATGAGTTTTCAACAATACGTGATAGAAATTTCGTTATATTGAATGGGTGTTCAAACTATTGTAGCGAATTTAAATAACGTTAAACGAGTATCTTGCTACCAATGTACCAAGGTACTGCATGTGTTGAGTTTTAAAACACACCAGTGTGAGTGAGTTTTTAGCTAAAATATTTCATATTTATTATAAACAATAGGTATATCTAAGGAATGCCAAGATCATAAATAAGGATATTTTACGATAAAAAATTGTTAGGGTACCATAATCATCTTTTCCAGTCAAATATCCATAAGTAACACAATAGCAGATTTTGTAGTACGCTAAAGTATATCAAATCAACATATACATCGACGTAACTATTGTTCATTGATAATACATTGTCGGTGAAGGATATCGAGATAACGAACAGTATTCGATATCAAAGTTCATAAAACAAAACAAAATAGGCACAGAGCAAACACGGAGCTCTAAAACATCAGATTTGGGATCAGGTGCCATGGAGGAGTGAGCATCCAATGCCGACCGTTCACACCCGTCCTGTGCTCCTTGTCATGATCGGGAAAACTCAATCTTCAATTCAGTATATAAGTAATGGACTATAGCTAACAATTAGTATGAAAAACGCCAGTCAGCATTTAATTCAATGATAAATTGTATTTGCTGACAAGATCATTAAATCGATCAAAGAACTTTCAAAATGATGGCTTTAAAAGAGACTGCTGATATTCTTGTTTCATCAACTTGTTTGTCATTAACATAAACTCTTCATACCTAGAACATGCTAGCTCTTGCGTATCGAATCAACTGAGATATATAGACACCGTATACAGGTGATGAAGGTATATTATTGCATAAGTAAAGGAAGTTGACGACAGAAAAGTTTGAGTCATCACGTTTATCATAGAGCTTGCTTGTTAGATTACCATTATGCTTTTCAAGTAAAATTTCCGAGCATGAAGCAGATGTGTCAGACTCTGTGGTATCAAGATCTTCGGGATATATCGTTTCGACGTAGGAATGGAAATAACCATTGTTAATTGACAATACGCTCGCGTCATCGATATATCTAAATGTTTAGTTAAAGACCACAGCAAGTGTTTTCTTATCACGCGTAAGATTTTTAATTTATTGAGGGGGATGATTGTAAGAAGTGCTGCTCGATGTATGTTTTGATGTTCATAAATTTGGTAAAATTTTGTGATTTCGAATTTCTTTAAATGTTTTTGTTTAAATACACTAGAGTTACTCCATGCATTTATACCTGTAAGACAATCATTCAAATATTTTAAGGTTGGCACATTTATTTAACTTTTGTTAATGAAATCGTTTAGTTGGTCGAGAATCAATCAAGTCTGATTGATTGTTAGTGATCAATTACAAAGGCGACTAGAAAACTCTAATTGTTTTAGGCAGTGGTTGCATTGCATGTAATGCAGTAATTTTGTTCTGCATTTGAACACAAACGTAGCTTCTTTACTGCTGAGTCAATGGAATAAATGAATCAGATCGGGCGAGACTTGAAGTATATCTTTATAATATTTATAAAAGGGATTACATGCATATAATTAGACATGTAACTAACTGTAATTATTAATTAGTTTGGTATTCACTTTGCATACATTGATGTCTCCTACAAACATATATATATTCAAAGTGTAAGTAATTTTTATCTTCCTTGCAGATTGTAGGTAATCTAAGGATGCATGATTTCTTTTATAAAAAAATTATTTGTAAGTCAACAACAAAAATGATTTTGATAACATTTCTCTATTTTTTGAAATGATTCTTACACAAATAAAGCCACTGTATTTAACCTTCAAAAAAATGCTTTTTTGGAATTCCAATGTGCAGCAAACTTAATTGCATAGCTAACCTTTTAATCTCTTTGCAATTGAAGCATATTCATACGTCTAAGATATTGTTTTCTTTATCTACAGGACAATGAAAACATTATTTGGATGGTTAGTTTTATGTATCTACTTCAGTGAAGGTAAGTTCAGTTCGAAAAAAAATTGATTTAGCTGTGAAATATTTGAGACATTAAATATAAATAAAAGAAAACATTTTTTGAAAGATATAATTCTTTACTTAGTGAGAAATGCATTGAAAAGAATCTTTTAAATTATATGTTACATGTGAATATATAATTTTTTGCTTTAAAGTCGTTTATAATCAAAGTGGAATAATTTTATTTATCGTTATTAAGATAAATAGCATATAACTGGGATATAAATACATGTGATTTAAAAAAAAAAGATAATCTTTTACCACTGGCTACCTCAGTGTTTAATTTTATTACAGGTAATAGTGTAGAATTGGATTGTTACGTCATCGGTGAGGACGGTAAAAGTACGTATACGGGTAACAAATCCACGACGATAACCGGTCGTACGTGTCAGAGGTGGGACGTCACGGATCCTCATACCCACACTCACGTGAGTGACCCCGGGGCGGAGGAAAATTACTGCCGAGTACTCAGTGATAACAAACCCTGGTGCTACACAGTAGATAGGAGTGTTCGATGGGAATACTGTGGAATTCCAGAATGTCGTATGTATGCCATGGCCTATAAAATATAAAACATGGTTTAGGTGATGTACCAAAAATGCATATTGAATATTTGATTTATATATTAATAATTTAATGATTTTGATCATTTTATGGTTTAAATGAAACACAAGATTGAACATGTTTTATTAACAACATAAATTCATTTTGATATTACCACTTTATTTACAGCAAGAGAAGATAACAAGGATCCTGTTGTTGATGACACATTACGTAATCAACCTTCTATTGGAGCTGAAAGTGAGTGAACTCCATAGTTTATTGTCAATTCAAACATTTTAACTGTTTCTGAAAATTGTTTACTGAAATCAGAGAGCTACAGTGATAATCATAAAAACTTAACCTTTCTTGCTGAGTGCAACACTTATACGTATATAGCTAGTAAATGATCTCATTGCATAATGCAGAAAAAAAGTGCAACCAAGTCTATTGTAAAACATTTAGAAAGTCTTGAAATATTACATTTACTACAGTTAGTGACTTGACAATATTTCATTGTAATAGAACTCTTTAAAAAATAATCAAATATTAATGAATTATTTTGAATCTTTGGTTAACAGTGGTTTCATTTCAAAGAAAATTTTCTTTTAAAGGTGTTACCCTCTGCTATATGTATGAAGTTGAGAGTTACCTTCAAATATTTACTCCTTAAAACTGTTGCCATACTAGCCTTCGCACCGGATGTCTAAAGAGTTCTTGGGTGTAACATTTTCATTGCAATCTTATGCTAATACATGAATCTATATTTTTCCAATGTTGCAGGCGTTGATTGTTACGAGAAGGGTGAGGACTATCTGGGTAACGCCTCCACCACGTTTACCGGACTGACGTGTCAGAGATGGGACGTTCAGACGCCACATGAACATGATTACACTGACCATGCGCTCGCAGACGGAAACTTCTGTAGGATTATAAATGATGAGCGACCATGGTGCTATACAGAAGACCGGGACATTAGATGGGAGTACTGCATGGTGCCAGACTGTGGTAAGATTTATGGGTTCACCACTTTAAGTCATCTTTAAAGTGGTTAAAACCATTGTACCATTTCAAAGGATCTGCTAAGAGGCAATCTTCATTTAATCCCATTCACTTTGTGAATAAAATTTTGTATAAATAAAAAAAAATCTTCATCGCAATTGTACACACTGTAGGACGGACATCCTTAATATAATCCATTACAGGAAACATTTTTACATATAAATTAAAGGAGCAACATATAAAATACTTCTCATCCTATGATGTTCAAGGTTTATTTTTTCGAATTTATAGTTTCCTGTGGTTCTATTCTTAAAAGAGATCTATCATTGCAAACAAATTTCAATGATTAATTAGGCTAGATATAAATGCAAAAATGAAAGAAAAAGCAAAACAATAATAATAACAACAACAACAATAAAAAAAAAAAAAAATAAACAAAAAATTGCTTAATTTTATTTAACAATGCATTTTTTAATATCATATCAGACCTTTTAATCAATAACACGGTGATTGAATGTCTATAAAACAAAACTGATGTTTTTAATTTTCTGAAATTGCTTAATTTTAGTTAACAATGCATTAAATTCATGACCTTTGATGATTGAATGTCACAAAATGCGTCAAATTTCTCATATTCTCAAAAAGTCTATAAAACAGCCAATCTTTAAAGCTATTTTTCAATATTTAATATAGAGTGTAACCTCTGATCTAAAAAAAAAAGCAACCAGTAATTTATAGAACTGTTGCAGAGGGTTACAAGACATGTTTAATTTTTTAGATTAGAGGATGTGCCCATATTATTTTGCTTCTCAGAAAATAATCAAACATACCCGTTTACATTAAAATTCAAGATTTTTACAATTCCACAAAGCCTGTGATCCAAGATCTGGAGTTTAAGGAGAAAATATATGATAGGAAATGAAAGTATTAAGTCTCTACTTTATTTTGATGTTTAAAAAGGAGAGTCAATAAATTGGTATATATACAAGGCCGTTTTATGCATAAAGTGAACAAATTAAATAACTTCCATAAAAAGTTAAGAAAAAGCACAAAATCTCTAGCTAACACCAAAAAAAGCTAGATTTTTTCTCTCTTACTTATTTTTCAAAAAGGGGGATTCGAAAAAAAAGCTCAATTAAATTAAACCAATGTTTCTGACTTTTATGATAATGTAAGCAATGTCCTTAAACATTTTTGATGAACTTAAAGAATAAAAATTTCATTAATTTCTATTTTGATAGATAGTTTATCTATGTTGACCTTTACATTTGACCTAATTTGTTTTATTTATTGACAATAGCTGAGACAGGTCAACATTTTTGACGTTAATGTTTCATAAAAACAGAAAGGCATTGATGACATTAAACATTAAGAAAAGCAATAATGATCTATTTTGACGTATGTTTACGTTGGTCATAAGGATACTCCCTTAAATATAAAAGATGTAGGGGATTTATTTTGGCATTTCGCATTCATTTCAAGTTTTGGAGCAATGCATTTTTAACTTCCCATAAAAATAGAATCATCAAGTACGCTTGTAAATTTAGAATTGTACAACTTCATTGCAAAAAAAAAATTGTAAAGTTTTTTTTATCATTTTACCAATTATTCTATAATCTACGTGGCATAAAAGACACCCATAATAAACTTTGTTATCCTTTGTTTTTTTCCAACCAATAATGGGGATATTTCTCCAACTGAACTATCACTTACAATCATTAAACCGTGCTGAAACATAAAAGGATATTTTGACTGAGTATGTTAATATTTGATTTTGAATTTTTACTGAAGTAGGTAATAGTACATAAAAGTATTAACAGAAGACTTCATAAAATAACCACAGAGCTCTATGTTCACTGATTAAGGCAAATCAAGAAAGAAGGGCATTTGTGTAGTAATATTGTTTAAGTTTACGTATTTCTTGCAGAGTCTATTCGAATTCTCCAAGAACTAAGAATAGGAATACCAGCTCAGACCACTGACATCCCAGAGAAGACAACAAGACAAGCTTTGTCAACAAAGCAACAGAAAGAACTTAGGAATGTCAACAAAGACAGTAAGACAAGAGTTGTCAACAAAGCAAAAGACATCAGATGTGGAAACAACTGAACCAGCACCCACAACGAAAATTCAAGAAATTCAATCTATCATTGACGATAGTGAGTATTTTTCACTATATCATATGAGTTCGATTAAAAAGAGATATGATTTATCTTTAGCATGTGTACATAAAATGAACAAAAATTTTGCATAAATTGAACAAAAATATTATTGAATAGAATTTGCCAAATTTTGATTTTATCGTAATGTGCTATTTCACAATATGATTTGAGTAAAAAATATATTAATCTGCTTGTTGTTATTTTTTTTTTACCCATGTTCATGCACTTTAAGACATCATTTTTCACATAAGGTTATGGTATTTAGCGAAGAATTAGGCTAACAAGATTAAATACATGCACATATGTGTGCATGTACCAAACATTGTTGATAAACACATGATCACGTATTACTTTCTTTTCCTAGAAATAACGACAAAGGGACCAGGGGCTCTGAAAGTGACGCTATCTGGGATTACGCCAAAGACAGGTAAAGAGTTCATTAGACTTTATTAAAAAGTGTAGATCAACATTAATTAAATACTAGTGGAGTGTTTAGTCTTATTAGAATTTCTTTGCAAAGAAAATATGTCGAAAAATCCTATTTAGAATAATTTATTTCTCTTGTTTTCCCCCATTTTTTAAGATGCTATGTTTTAACTTATAAATTGCAGCAGTGCTTCATGTTTTTCATTTTCTTATTTTGCAAATTCAAAGTATTTCTTCTATTTCTAATAAAACATACTGTTAAGATACACTTTGAAAGACTCTCGTTCAATCAGTTTTTTTTTTAAATTGTACGTTGTGCTTGTATCTTAATTTGGTTGCATATATAATTATCCTCATTTTATAATTCACAGCTGCCTTTCGATCAATGGCTCGAACTCACACTATCTCCATCGCAGGTCCCGTGCTGAGCAGCAGCAAAAATTGTTAGTTTTTATTCTTATAAATTAATGTTTCCATTTAATTCTACATGTATTCAACTCATAACAAGTAAGCCTAAATATCTTACACATAGAAACCTACAATTTGAATAAGTTTGCTGATGAATGATATTCTTATTGCAGTGAATCCAGATGTTTATATTCAAAAGAAGCTGTATACTAGTAGCGTCGATCAAAAGGTATCTATTCGATGTTTCGTTTCCCCCAACGAAGACCTTCCAATTCACTGGTACAAAGACGGTGAGCTTCTGGTAGACAGGGGTCTAGACATAAGAACTGGGTCCATTCTTATTCTTAAGAATGTACAGAGGGAGGACAGTGGAAAATACACATGTGAAGCTGGGAACAGCAAGGCCACTACAACAGTACTGATAGGAGAAGGTACTGCCCTTAATTTGGAAATAATTTCAAAGAGTGTATTTTTTGGTACATTCAGATCTCAGTCCATAAAAAATGTGTTCAATGTTAATTTCAGCGATATTATTTAAAGATTTTATTGGAAAATGTCATGTTTAGAATAAATAAAATCGTAAGGATTTTATCAAATGCCACTCAATCTTCCAAACAAATCTAAAACTAAGCTATTTTTCAATATCCTTAATTATTTACAAGATGAAAAACAAGTAAGAAGCATACGAATAGCTCTATGCGTTTATGTTTTATACTCCGAGTGGAAATATACAATTATAACTTATCTCTTCATTTTACAGGAACTCAATATCTATCGAGAGATACGGTGGAAAAAACAACACAGAAAATTGTGTCTACCACAGAAAATGTTCTAACCTCTACTACGGATATTACATCTACCGATAAAATATCAATAAGCACTCCAACAGACGATGAAAAATCTTTATCAACAACCACATCTTCCAAGATCGTAGATGATTATGACCTAACGACTGAATCTCCTGTTGAAATTACTACTTCTGTATCGAGCTCATCCGAGACTTTGCAGACCACCACCATTCCTTCCAAGCTTGTAGATATAGATGATAATGATCTTACGACAACATCTGTTGTAATAACCACTTCTGAAAAAATCTCATCCGAAGCCGTGCAGACGACAACACAGCAGCCCTCTGTAACGACATCAGAGCCTTATGTCAGCATAGCAATAATTTCTACAACCACCCCATCTAAACAAACACCTGACGAATTGCCTACAACGACAATCAGGTCGATACTCTCTACTGAGACAAAACAAACTAGTCCAACCACAGAAGAAACAACGACTATACCGTATAGGACATCAAGCTCTGGTCATATCAAAAGAGTAACTTCTATCCCAGATACAGATATATCTTATAGCATTCAAAGAGATCGCAAACAAAACAAAGATAAAGTACCCCAGGGAATTACTACTAGTCCACTGGTCATTCTTTTGAACAAAACAGGACAAGTTTCACCTGGTGTGAATTATAACATTAAAGACAGGGGAACTGAGCCTTTTAAACTTAACATCCCTGTTAGAGATTTCTTGCCTTCATCCACCGAAGTACCACGCGACTTCAGACAGCGATACGTTAAACCAACAACCACCAGGCCTGTTTTCAGTACTGACGAAGTGGAGCAGAAGAAATTTAATAGTTATCCATACCGATCTCGATCAGGTTTAATTTTTTATATTTTTTCAAACTTGCAAACTATTTCATGCTAGTTTACATATTTTTGTTAATTTACAAATAAGTGAAATGAACTTGCTTTGAATTGTTTTCAAGGGGCCTTTAGTTGTAATGATTACTTTCACTAAGATAAATACATATTTATATTAAAAATTTACTTATTCGAACCCTTTGAACGGAAAAGTATAGCATCATGACATGTTCACAATCTTAAGGCAAAAATCCAAAAACTACAACTTGTTCTTATTTTATAAAAGTCTCACCAGTTCAGTTAATTTTCTAAAAGCTTGGAATGGTTGTTTCTTTCAGATACTAAATATATGGAAAATTCTTCAAGACAATATCACAGGGAAATAAATGAACGTAAGTGTATCAATTCTAAAAATACAAACATTTTGATTATTTTTTTAAAATGCAATGCAATGATTTCATCTAATTTTAATTTTGAAAAACCTTGATGCCGAAAGCTGTAGATCTTAATGTGGCTAAAAGATTTTTGTCAAATCTTAATTTTGAAATATTTTTTTATGTAGAAAGCTGTAGATCTAAATGTGACGGCGAGAGCTCTTGTTACTTGGGTTACAACTGTACGCACTACAAACATTGCTTTGAACAAGATGGAAGGCGCTGTACCTGTATATTAATGACTTGCTCCTTTGGAACATTCTGGAGCTCGGCCATCCGTGCTTGCGATTCTGTTCGTAAGGTTTACTGTGAAGAAGGTTTGTTTTTTCATTGGATTCACTTATTTCTCAACTCAGAAAAAGACCAAATATAATCATAAATTTATGCAATTGATGCAGATTGAAATTGCTCTTTATTATAACTAAATTTAGATACTGCTTTTTTGTTAAAGCAGAATAAAATGTCAATTAATAATACTAGATTAAAAAATCAATTTTACAGTTTGTTATAGAGAGAGAATTTATTTTTTTTTTCTGTTTCTAGATCCATGTAAAAAGATGACTCCGTATGCAACATACTCATCAGGCTTTAACTGCAGAAGTTACTATGAATGCAGTAAAGAGCGTCGTTCTGTGGCTATGTGTTGTAAAAATGGCTACTCCTACGACCCATTCAAAGGTCGCTGCGTGTTCGACAGGTCATGTGATATAGGCTGTGCCTCAAGGACTCCAAATAAACCTCAGAGAGACCTCAAAGTTAATCTTAAAGTGACAAGAACATACAACTGTGAGTAAGAATTATCACAAGGGTAAATTTACCCTGTTTTAAAGAGACCCACAATTTTATCTTTGCTATTTTTTCAATTATATTTTACCATACGATTCTTTATCCATGAAATGAAATCCTCGAACTCAAATCCTAAAATTCTGATTCCAAAATAATCTATAAATTTAAATAATTTTCCTTACTAGGAAGAACATTTTCCAAAATGCTAGAGAACTATATGTTTTATGAAAACCTGAGAAATCTTACAAGTGCTGTGCCAAATATTTTAAAAATTTCGAAAAAGTATCAACCTTAAATCTTAATATCTGTTTATTCTTCATTGCAAAGAAATCCTCAAATTGAACATGGTTGCGAAAGGCTTTGATTCGTTAAATTATTTTCTGTTAAATGTTGATAATTTTTAAAATTATCTTTCAGTATGCTATTTGAAACCAGTACCGGGCAAACCCACAAAGTATTATAACAGTGTATTTAAGGTGGAACAGGATTGTCCACCGGGTACCGTCTTCAATGCAGAAATCTGTGTTTGTGGCATCTCACTGAAAATAATACGAAAAGTTCCTGTCGACCTCTACCCTACTGGTTAGGACATTTAATTTAAAATTTTCCCTAAAATATTTCTTTTTCTTTTCCTTAACCTTTGCTTGTTTGATTTTTCTGAAAACTACCTAAGTTGTACAAGTAAACAATATACGAACATTTAAAAATATCACTATGCAAATGTCATTCTAAAATACACATAAGTCACGTATATCAATAATTTATCATTAAAGTTTGTAGAATGTTTTACTCATATTATCCTTTAATCAACAATATGCAAATATGAATCTTATTTTTCTTTTATATTTTAGTGTGTCAGCCTAAAATTGTGGTGGATTTTTCGGGACGACAGGTCACTAATCAGGCTCCGCGTCCAGTGTACCTGAAATCAACGGATGTCAGTATAATTCCATCGGGCATGCGCAATGTTAACTATGGTCAATTTAATGGAAGAACATCCCAGATTTTCTCTGAGCGATATTTTGCCGTAACATTCCGGCGTTTTCTGATTCGGATGAGATTTTATAATGATGGCAGAGGTGGTCCCGAGCACCAAATTTTGATTTCTAACTGTGACTCTTTGGCTAAATCATGGAACATACCAGAGTTAGATCCCAGAATGAAGCCATCACTAGCCGTCATTTTATCCAGAAGTACCAGTACCTTAACTTTCTTAGGATTCAATGAATACTCACCGCCAGCGATAATACGTTTGCCTTTCTCGGTAATGCTTATAACAAATACTGTAGAATCATTTTGATTCTCGGGGGAGGGGGTAATATTCAAGGGAAAGCAAAACTTTTATTATTCATGGGGACTTAATTTTAATAGTTTCCCGATTAGGTTCAGTAAATCAGCGTATTTATAAAATTAAGTAAAGATATGAATTTGTGAGCAAGGATGATCCAAGAAATTCACGAACATTGGTCACCCCAAAGCAATGTTTTTTCCCACAAAATCAGCCTTAAATTGAAATTCAAATTACATTTTATATTAGATATCTTAGAATAAAAAAATTTTGTATTGAATTTTTTTGTATCAATATTGTTAGCAAAATCATTGATGTAAGGTAATGTTATCTTTTTAGAAAACGAGCTGGAACAATGTTGAGCTGATTTACGATGGAACAACATTTTACGCCCGAGTCAGAACAACAAGGAGAGACGGGAAGTTGTTAGAGTTCAAAGATTCAAAACCTTTATCAGGTAAACACAACACATACATCCAAAATCACTTCTTACCTCTTTATCTCAAATAATAATATCGATTTTTGTTTTTGGACAACGTTTTTAACGAATAAAGTATGTCTTAATTTCTCCTCAGAAAGCTTAAACATATTAAAGGCATTGTTAACAAATATTTGCTGAATACAATTGATATTGGGGTTATAAGCTAAAACAAAGTTACGTCCCTATGGAGACGTTTTTATAATTTTAATTTGTTTCCGTTTACAGGAAGACTTGCAATCTCTCTACAACCCTTACGGATTGGAAAATGCACCAGAAGAGATGCTTTTTATGGTTATATTGATATTGTAAGTAGAAGTAGAGACCAACATTTTTTTTATTTAGATGATTTTCTGCTTTATACTTCAAATTGTCAAAATAGATAAATAATAACTTTGAAGTCCATTTATACTCGGTAATCATTAGCTCACCTGAGCTGAAAGCTCAAGTGAGCTTTTCTGATCACATTTTGTCCGTCGTCCGTCTGTCTGTCTGTCTGTCCGTCTGTAAACTTTTCACATTTTCGACTTCTTCTCAAGAACCGCTGGCCCAATTTCAACCAAACTTGCCACAAAGCATCCTTGGGTGAAGGGGATTCAGGTTTTTTAAATGAAGGGCCACGCCCTCATTCAAGGGGAGATAATTGGGAAATAATGAAAATTTGGTGGTATGTTTTAAAAATCTTCTTCTCAAGAACCACTGTGCCAGGAAAGATGAAACTTATGTGGAAACATCCTCAGGTAGTGTAGATTCAAATTTGTTCAAATCATGACCCCCGGGGGTAGGGCGGGGCAAAAATGGCAGACCAAAGTTTTACATAGAAAATTATAGGATAATTTTTAGAAAATCTTCTTCTCAAGAATAGCAAAGCTATAATTGATCATATTTATATGGAAGCATCCTCAGGTAGTGTAGATTCAAGTTTGTTCAAATCATGACCCCCGGGGGTAGGGCGGGGCCAAAATGGCCGACCACAGTTTCACATTGAAATATATAGGAAAATTCTTTAAAAATCTTCTTCTCAAGAATAGCAAAGGCATTAATGGTCATATTTATATGAAAGCATCCTCAGGTAGTGTAGATTCAAGTTTGTCCAAATCATGACTCCTGGGGGTAGGGCGAGGCCAAAATGGCCGACCAAAGTTTTACATAGAAAAATATAGCAAAATTCTTTAAAAATCTTCTTCTCAAAAATAGCAAAGCCATAATTGATCATATTTATATGGAAGCATCCTCAGGTAGTGTAGATTCAAGTTTGTTCAAATCATGACGCCCGGGGGGAGGGCAGGGCCACAATGGCAGACCACAGTTTTACATAGAAATATATAGGAAAATTCTTTAAAAATCTTCTTCTCAAGAATAGCAAAGCCATGATTGATCATATTTATATGGAAGCATCCTCAGGTAGTGTAGATTCGAGTTTGTTCAAATCATGACCCCCGGGGTAGGGCGGGGCCAAAATGGCCGACCACAGTTTTACATAAAAATATATAGGAAAATTCTTTAAAAATCTTCTTCTCAAGAATAGCAAAGCCATAACTGACCATATTTATATGGAAGCATCCTTAGGTAGTGTAGATTCAAGTTTGTTCAAATCATGACCCCCGCGGGTAGGGCGGGGCCACAATGGCAGACCACAATTTTACATAGAAATATATAGGAAGATTCTTTTAAAAATCTTCGTCTCAATAATAGCAAAGTCATAATTGATCATATTTATATGGAAGTATCCCCAGCTATTGTAGATTCAAGTTTGTTCAAATCATGACCCCCGGGGGTAGGGCGGAGCCAAAATGGCCGACCAGAGTTTTACATAGAAATATATGGGAAAATTATTTAAAAATCATCTTCTCAAGAATAGCAAAACCATGATTGGTCATGGGACTATTTTTGGATTTAAACTTTTCAATAATAAACCAATTGCTACTTTTTCCTAGCCACAGTGCTCAGGTGAGCGATGTGGCCCATGGGCCTCTTGTTATAATTATATATGAGCTTTTTAAAAAAATTCTTTAAATTACCACATTTGAATAATAGAAAGCTTAAAGATAAGGCTCTGTTGCAGGTGGCGATCATTGTCTAAAAGAGATAGAAAATGTTCTGAAATCCTTTTTAACTTCTTAAACTTGTTACGTTAATAATTTATCGATTCAATTATTTCATGCTTAAGCTTGTTTTTTAAATATGTTTTTATTTTCTTTCAGATTAAGATGCACAACGACTGTTTACCAAAGAAATTATGAATTCCATTTTTTTCATCTTATCCATTCACATCTCTCATTTATTTATTCCTTTGATATACATTGTTATAGTATGGTTGAAAATAAATTTTGCCTATGGCAATATATACATTTTCTCAAAGTTTTTTTTTCAATATTAATTAATAGTTTGTACATTATTTATAAATTGCTTTAGTGCCTTCGTGTCTTACTGTCTATTAATTTGCATTGCAGAAATATTCTTCTAATGCAATCTTAAATTCAGATGGTTCTTATATAACTAAAATTATTTTTTAATCTCTTTCACCTTTCTTTTTTACATTTAAAACAAATACAAGTCACCTAGTAGCACATTGGCTAGAGCATCTGCTATACAAACGCGGAGTAAGGAGTAGATCCTTACGTCGCAGGTTCGAATCCCACTGTGGGACATGGAGACCGGTCCTCCGGATGAAACCGTATAAACCGGGGTACCGTGTCACGGGAGGTACTGGCATGATAACGATCCCTGACTGCTCTATGGCCTGATTGTCGAATATATAGTAGAATTTGCACCTCTCCAAGTGGCGTCTCCATATGTGTAAAGAATTCTCGAAAGGGAGATTAAACAACAAACACAAAACAAATAGGCAAAATAAAAAAAAATTGTAAATCAATAAAATTGTAAACTGGCTTTGATAAGTTAAGAAGTGTATGAAATATGGAGATAATGAAGAGTATTCAAGATAAAAAAAATCCATAAAGCAATTACAAAATAGGAGCAGAGCAAACACGGACCTCCAAAACATCAGAGGTGGGATCAGGTGCCATGGAGGAGTGAGCATCCCCTGCTGACCGGTCAAACCCGCATAGTGCTCCTTGTCATGATCGGAAATAACGGAAAAATCCGTCGTCAATTCAGTGTATCAATAATGGGGTAACAATTAGTATGAAAAACGTCAGTCAGCTTTGACTCAATGATAAATTGTATGTGCTGACAAGGTTATTGTACCGATCATAGAACTTACCAAATGAGGACTTTAAAAGAGTCTGCTGAAATTCTTGTTTCATCAACTTGTTTGTCAAAAATTTACCCCTTTTTAAAAATTGTTCATACATAGAGCATGCTCTTGCATATTGAATTAACTGCGATATATAAGCTCTATATGCAGGTGATGGAGGTATGTTGCTGCATAAATAAGGGGAGATGATGATAGAAAATTAAGGTCGTTACGTTTTTCATAGAGTTTGATTGTTAGATTACCATTATGTCTTTTTCAAGTAAAATAAACAGATGTGTCAGACTCTGTGATGTCTTTTATCTCAAGCTCACCAGGATATAGCATATCGACATAAAAATTTAAATTAGCATTGTTAATTTTTTTTACAATTAAAAATTTTCAACGTTAATTGACAATTAAAACTTGGAAAAACATTGTATCCCTCCACTTTGCCATGTTTCACTACAATATGCTGTAAAATTGGTGTTTGTATATACTATAGGTTGAAATATTCCAAGTTCAAAGTTTTAATAAACAACAAGTTCAACATATAAATGTGTTTTAAGATATAGATTTTTAGATTACAGTTATTTTTTAAATTTTGCTGGAAAGAGAAAGCATAAAAAGAATATCTAAGCAATGAAAATGAGATTTAGAATCTGAGAAATGCTGTATATAGGGAGATCCCTCCTCGTTTAATTTTCGCCCTTTTCGCCCTATCCTCCTTTGTGCGAATATAAAACGGGACGAATTCAAAGAATGCAGTATAATTTAACCAAATCATGACTCCTGGGGGTAGGGCGAGGCCAAAATGGCCGACCAAAGTTTTACATAGAAAAATATAGCAAAATTCTTTAAAAATCTTCTTCTCAAAAATAGCAAAGCCATAATTGATCATATTTATATGGAAGCATCCTCAGGTAGTGTAGATTCAAGTTTGTTCAAATCATGACGCCCGGGGGGAGGGCAGGGCCACAATGGCAGACCACAGTTTTACATAGAAATATATAGGAAAATTCTTTAAAAATCTTCTTCTCAAGAATAGCAAAGCCATGATTGATCATATTTATATGGAAGCATCCTCAGGTAGTGTAGATTCGAGTTTGTTCAAATCATGACCCCCGGGGTAGGGCGGGGCCAAAATGGCCGACCACAGTTTTACATAAAAATATATAGGAAAATTCTTTAAAAATCTTCTTCTCAAGAATAGCAAAGCCATAACTGACCATATTTATATGGAAGCATCCTTAGGTAGTGTAGATTCAAGTTATGTTGATATCATGACCCCCGCGGGTAGGGCGGGGCCACAATGGCAGACCACAATTTTACATAGAAATATATAGGAAGATTCTTTTAAAAATCTTCGTCTCAATAATAGCAAAGTCATAATTGATCATATTTATATGGAAGTATCCCCAGCTATTGTAGATTCAAGTTTGTTCAAATCATGACCCCCGGGGGTAGGGCGGAGCCAAAATGGCCGACCAGATTTTTACATAGAAATATATGGGAAAATTATTTAAAAATCATCTTCTCAAGAATAGCAAAACCATGATTGGTCATGGGACTATTTTTGGATTTAAACTTTTCAATAATAAACCAATTGCTACTTTTTCCTAGCCACAGTGCTCAGGTGAATGTGGCCCATCTTGTTATAATTATTTATGAGCTTTTTAAAAAAAATCTTTAAATTAACACATTTGAATAATAGAAAGCTTAAAGATAAGGTTCTGTTGCAGGTGGCGATCATTGTCTAAAAGAGATAGAAAATGTTCTGAAATCCTTTTTAACTTCATAAACTTGTTACGTTAATAATTTATCGATTCAATTATTTCATGCTTAAGCTTGTTTTTTAAATATGTTTTTATTTTCTTTCAGATTAAGATGCACAACGACTGTTTACCAAAGAAATTATGAATTCCATTTTTTTTTCATCTTATCCATTCACATCTCTCATTTATTTATTCCTTTGACATACATTGTTATAATATGGTTGAAAATAAATTTTGCCTATGGCAATATATACATTTTCTCAAAGTTTTTTTTTCAATATTAATTAATAGTTTGTACATTATTTATAAATTGCTTTAGTGTCTTCGTGTCTTACTGTCTATTAATTTGCAATGCAGAAATATTCTTCTAATGCAATCTTAAATTCAGATGGTTCTTATATAACTAAAATTATTTTTTAATCTCTTTCACCTTTCTTTTTTACATTTAAAACAAACACAAGTCACCTAGTAGCACATTGGTTAGAGCATTTGCTCTACAAACGCGGAGTAAAGAGTAGATCCTTACGTCGCATGTTCGAATCCCACTGTGGGACATGGAGACCGGTCCTCCGGATGAAACCGTATAAACCGGGGTACCGTGTCACGGGAGGTACTGGCATGATAACGATCCCTGACTGCGCTATGGCCTGATTGTCGAATATATAGTAGAATTTGCACCTCTCCAAGTGGCGTCTCCATATGTGTAAAGAATTCTCGAAAGGGAGATTAAACAACAAACACAAAACAAATAGGCAAAATAAAAAAAATTGTAAATCAATAAGATTGTAAACTGCCTTTGATGAGTTAGGAAGTGCATGAAACATGGAGATAACTAAGAGTATTCAAGATAAAAAAAATCCATAAAGCAATTACAAAATAGGAGCTGAGCAAACACGGACCTCCAAAACATCATAGGTGGGATCAGGTGCCATGGAGGAGTGAGCATCCCCTGCTGACCGGTCAAACCCACAGAGTGCTTCTTGTCATGATCGGGAAATAACGGAAAAATTCGTCATCAATTCAGTGTATCAATAATGGGGTAACAATTAGTATGAAAAATGTCAGTCAGCATTGACTCAGTGATAAATTGTATGTGCTGACAAGGTCATTGTACCGACCATAGAACTTACGATATGGGGACTTTAAACGAGTCTGCTGAAATTCTTGTTTCATCAACTTCTTTGTCAAAAATTTACCCCTTTTTAAAAATTGTTCATACATAGAGCATGCTCTTGCATATCGAATCAACTGAGATAAAAAAGCTCCGTATGCAGGTGATGGAGGTTTATTGCTGCATAAATAAGGGAAGATGATGATAGAAAAGTTAAGGTCGTTACGTTTTTCATAGAGCTTGGTTGTTAGATTACCATTATGTCTTTTTCAAGTAAAATAAACAGATGTGTCAGACTCTGTGGTGTATTTTTTCACTAGCTCCTCACCAGGATATAGCATATCGACATAAAAAAATTAAATTAGCATTGTAAATTTTTTTTACAATTAAAAATTTTCAACGTTAATTGACAATCAAAACTTGGAAAAAACATTGTATCCCTCAACTTTGCCATGTTTCACTACAATATGCTGTAAAACTGGTGTTTGTATATACTATAGGTTGAAATATTCCAAGTTCAAAGTTTTAATAAACAACAAGTTCAACATATAAATGTGTTTTAAGATATAGATTTTTAGATTACATTTTTTTTTTAAAATTTGCTGGAAAGAGAAAGCATAAAAAGAATATCTAAGCAATGAAAATGAGATTTAGAATCAGAGTAATACTGTATATAGGGAGATCCCCCCTCGTTTTATTTTCGCCCTTTTTGCCCTATCCTCCTTTGTGCGAATATAAAACGGGACGAATTCAAAGAATGCAGTATAATTTCTTAAACAAAACTATGACTTGGCGAATATAAAACCGTAGAAAATTATTTTCAAGCATTAAAGGGCGAAAATAACATGGGGCGAAAACAACCCTGTAATGCTGTATACAGTAATCCATAAGAAAGAATATCAAACCACGGAGGATAAAGCACTCTTTCCCTTATTAATTGTCCCTAGGCGTTATCAACCCAATCTATTTTTTTCCCTATTTTTTGAAATCATTTATGCAACTGCATTTTATATTGTATTTTACTAAAGTTAAAATGAAGATAAATTTTTATCCCTTCTGATTTAATTTATCCTCGGCAAAATAACTTGTTTCTTTAATTACAAACTTTAAAAAAAAAAATTATTTTTGTTTTGTCTAACGTCCTTCTCAAGAATATTCAATCCTGAGAAGAAGTCACCACTTGCCGATGCTTGACTGTAAATTCAGACCTATACTATGCACTCAGGGTCATGAGCAGT